CCTCTGGAAGAGCTTGTCTGGAGGGGCGGAAGATCAGGAGGAGGTCAAGGCGGTGGGGGGCAGGAAACCGGAAGCTGCATCCTCTGCGCGTGCGCCCTAAAGTGCCTTAATCTCCAACTACTTCCACGACGGCGAGCGACGCTTCATCCTTTTCCTCCTAAATGTCCTCTAGGACTATTCCAATCCCTGACCTCCGTCCCAAGTGCGGTGGTTCGGTCCCTGCCAGAGGCGCATGAGAGGCCTCCCGGGTACCCCGGCCTCAAGAGCACCCCCTTGGCGGTGTCCATGGTTCTGGAAAATGCCGCTGGGCCTGGGGTGTAGTCGGACGCGGTCCCCGTTTCTCACCAGCTGCCATCTCCCGGGAGAACTTGTTTGCACGGTGTCTCAAGGAAGTAGCTACAGACCTTAGGCAGAGGTGTGGCAGAAGAAAGTAAGGAGTTTTGGTTAAAGGCAGGATTTTTTTTTTTTTAGAGCGTGTTATGACGGAGAGTTTCGGTTTGGAAACTGAGATTTTGCATAAGGTCTATAAAGCAGACTCCTCTTGTAATTAGCACCATAGTGCCATAGGCACTCAAAAATAAACAAACTATCGCTTAGTCCCTTTAACTTGAGGGCAGTGGATTTTACCTTGACCATACATATATTTATTTATTTTCAGATGTAAGTGTGTGTGCCTACATGTATGTATGTACTCCGTGTGCTTGCAGGAGCCCTCAGAGATCAGAAGAGGCATCCGATCTCCTGCAACTGGAGTTATGTACAGCTGTGAGCTGCCATGTTGGTGGTGGGAGCCCAACCTGGGTCCTCTTTGAGAAGATCAAGTACCACCTCCCTAGTACCTCCTCTTCATTTCTCTGTATCAACCAAAAACACTGCCTGCACATCAGAATTAATGAAGAATTTATTGCAAAGACTAGTTTCCAGACCTGGGGCACTTGACCCGTGTGTCAGAATTCCCAAGCAAGGACACACAAATCTACTCTGTTTTTGTTTTTTTCTGAAGCGAGGTCTTACGTACCCAGGCTGACCTTAAATTCACTCTGTAGCCAAGGCTGATGTTGAACCACTGATCCTCCTGCTCCAGCATTCTAAGTCCTAGGACTGTAGGTGGACACAGTTACACCTCTTTTAAGATGTGCAGATCAGTTTAAAACACTGTAAGATAATTCCTCTAAAGCACTGTAGCTAAACCTTAACCACTTGTTGACTCTCAGAAATGCCTTACATTTTCCAACTCTTATAGCCTTCATTCTCTCAATTTTTACACTAATTGGATATGTCTCCTTATTGAAATTATCTTTAAGGCAGCAAAACATCACTTCTTTTACTTTAGTTTTACTTCTTTTGCTCTTTGGAAATTCTCTCATGTCAAGCTAGATGTGTGGCTCCCCTCTACCATCCCAGCAAGGAACTGAAGCAGGAGGATCATATGCTCACAGACAACCTACAAAACACTTGTAAGATTGTTTGCAGACAGCCGGGCGTTGGTGGCGCATGCCTTTAGTCCATCCCAGCACTTGGGAGGCAGAGGCAGGTGGGTGGATCTCTGTGAGTTCGAGACCAGCCTGGTCTACAAGAGCTAGTTCCAGGACAGCCTCCAAAGCCACAGAAGAGATACCCTGTCCTGAAAAAAAAAAAAAAAAAAGTTTGTTTGCAGACAAAAACAGAGCACTAAAGTTGTTTTGCAGTCATTAATCTATTTTTTTTTTTTAGCAGTGCCATGGTTGGAGGTAAAAGGTGTGGGCCTTGTGCTTGTTAGCTAGCTGTTTACTCAACCCCTACACTACATTACCAAGCTTCAATTTTAAGTCATAAATATATAATGAAAATTGACGTTCAGATCTCTTTCTGTGTGTTTTTACTTGACAACAAATTCAGCTGCCTGATGAGTTTTGAGTTTCTCACACAGAATTGCTTTGTAGCTGCTATCAAGAGGACAAAGCTGATTAAGTGTAGCAAGCTTTCTTTTGGGCTGTCAACCAGCTCCTAAATCATCACATGGAGACTTATTATTAGTTATGAATGCTTGGCCTTATGCTTGTCCCACTAGCTCTTATAACTTAATCTGTTTCTCATCTTTGTTTTGCCTCTGGACTTTTACCTTTCTTTCCTTCTGTGTGTCCTTCTTTCCTGCTTTTCTTGACATTCAGCTAGCTGCCTGGCTGACTGGCCCCAGGTGTCTCCCTTTCTTTCTCCTTCATTTTCTCTTTTCTTTCATTTTCTCTAGCCTAGATTTCTCCTACTTCTCTCTGTCTGCCAGCCCCGCCTATTCCTCTACTGCCTAGCTCTTGGCCATTCAGCTTTTTAAACCATCAGTTGCCTTAGGCAGGCAAGGTAAAACAAATGCAACACATCTTTGCATAATTAAACAAATGCAACATAAACAAGTGTAGCACCTTTGTCTAGTTAAACAAATACAGGGTTAACAAATGTACACATCTAAAGTAACATTCCACAACAATGAACTCAAGCTGACTTCTGCTGGCAGGTGCAGCACTAGGTAGGATTAGAATAGAAATTTGATTTGGTTCTCTGAAAAAAAAAATTGGAAGAATGATGTCAATTAAATTACCACCCCCACCACCCCCCACAGGGTTTCTCTGTGTAGCTTTGTAGACCAGGCTGGCCTTGAACTCACATAGTTCCAGGTCCTTGAACTAGCTCTTGTAGACCAGGCTGGTCTCAAACTCACAGAGATCCACCTGCCTCTACCTCATGAGTGCTGGGATTAAAGGCATGCACCACCAACGCCTGACAGTGTCTTTCTTTTTTAATTGCATTAAAAACTGTAAATTTGCTGGGCGGTGATGGCACACGCCTTTAATCCCAGCACTGGGAGGCATGCTCTCAACCTTGCTATCACATTCATTCCTTCTCTGGCAGTAGAATACTAAAGACCAGCTGAGACATCCAACCTCATGGATCCTTGGATGTTTGGGTGTTCCATTTATAGATAGCCATTGTTGGATTAGCTGGGCCATAGCCTGTAAGCTATTACGATAAATCACTCACACACACACACACATATATATATATATATATATATATATATATATATATAATTGTTTCAAATGAAATTGTTGGATGGCTATCTTCTTGTGGCTGAAACATTTCTTCCTGAGAGAAGAGAGAGAATGGAGGCTCTTGAGATACTCATAAATATTATAAGATTCATGAAGCTCACCAAATTATGAGACTCGTGGAACCCCTCCTCAAGGTTATATAAATAGTAAACAATTTCAGGATGCTGGGGTAGGATTCTCAATGATGCAACTGCCTTTGAGTCATCCATGCTCCTGTAAGTAACCCCTCACATGTAGTCTTGTAAAAACCCAAATAAACTCATTGGTTCACCAAGCTAGAACTGAGTGAAATGATTTCTTTGGTCTGCCATCAGTGCCCTATCTGGGGTGAAGAGATGTTTGCTCATCTCCAGGAAAAGTCATGCAACATAATTGATACCCAAACCAAGACTGACAGAAGCAAAGATAAGCTGGGGAGATGCACTTTCATGGCCCATACAGTAAATGATAAGACATACAACAGAAGCTGATCTGTTTGAGGGTAGAGCATTCGTGAGGCAATCACAATATGACTACTTTTTCCCATGTCACAGGAGATGGTTTGTCTTCTCTTTCCTATAGCCATGGTGGTTGGTAACGCATTGCCAGTCCAGCAGATAAGTTCAAACGTACCTGAAAGGAGACATGAGGATTGAAAAAGAAGAGAGAAGAGACAGTAGATAGAGTCAGAAGGGCACTCATTGAACTGCAGACACCCCAAGTTTATTACTCATAGCCCTATACCCCAATCAAAAGGGGGGAGCAAAAGGCTTCTTTACCATGATACAAGGAGCAAATAAACGTACTTACCTCCTTAATACTTGAAACATCTGGTCACCACATCCTAAATCAAACATCCTGTAATTTGGTCTTGAGGGTCAAGACATCCAGCAGCCACACCTGAGACCAAACATCCTGCTGTTTAAGAATAGGGTTGAACTCTCTGACCTTAAGTCAAGATGGAACTGAGTCAGTAACAATGGGCCCCGACAAAGCATGCACCCTAGGCCAACCTGTCTGAGTATAGAGCATCCTTTGGCATGCCTCCTCAATGAACATTTATGCCCCCAAGTCATCTAAGAGAGTAGGGAGTATACTGTGATCCCTGATAGTACATCTAGGACATAACTGTAAGGAGGTTGTGGTGTGAGTCATGTTGCTTTTGCTGTGAGTGGTAAGATAAGCAGCTGAGGTTTATCTGTCTTCCCAGAGACAACTTTCCCCTGTAAGGAAAAAAAATTACAATGAAAAGTGGGACATGCAAATGCTATCCTCTGCACTAAGTTCGGATTTGGCAGGAAAAAAATTTAAAAAACAGAATGAGATGGAGATGTTGGCATGCGGTTTTTACAGAAGGGAGGATGCAAGAATCAAGAGTATAAATTTGATCTGTGAGCCCTTCCTGGGGTCCAAAAACTTGGAACCCCTGGAAGAATAAAGTGAGGTAAAAGTGTACTCCTCAGGTCAGACCTTCAGCACTGAACATAACTTAGGAAAGTGTGATAATTAGGGTTACTCTGCATCAAAAGCTGTGTGAATTCCGGGATGGTTTTAAGGAAGCATCTCTTGCATCCTGCCTTGTGATGCTATCGGACGTGGGTGTAAATGGGATCAGCTTGAGTTCTGTGAAAGCAGAGAAACTGAGTAATATATTAGCTACTCATTCCTTCTTAAGACAAAAAGTACATAATCTCAGGCAATATGAGAGAAATTGTCACTGATAGACTTTCTTATGAGTCATTAGGCACACTTGGTTATTGCAGGCTGAGGTACCATGAATATGAGGCACTGGAGGGCAATAGAACAGGCATTACTGAGGAAAATGAGTGCTCCAAGAGCCAGTGTATGAGGCCATTCACAGTGGACTCTGTTCACAGGAGACTTAAGAAAGAAGTTGGGGCCAGGCATGGTGGGGCACACCTTTAATCCCAGCACTTCGGAGGCAGAGGTAAGTGGATCTTGTGAATTTTAGGTCATCCTGGTTTACAAAGAGAGTTCCAGGGCTGTTACATTAGAAACCCTGTCTTGAAAACCAAAAAAGAAAAGAAAAAGAAAGAGGTTGGGGTCAGCAAGATTGCACAGTATGTTAAGACACTTGCTGCCAGGCCTCATGACGAGTTCCATCTCTCAAACTTACATAGTGGAAGGAGAGAACCAACTCTGTTACGTTGTCTTCTGACTTCCACATACATGCCATGTCATGAGCGTGCCTACACATGAAAAATAGGCAGAAATTTAATTTAAAAAGAAAGATGGATTTGACCAGGGACTTGTGTGGGACTTGAGTAGCTTGCTGAGTTTCATGTTCCACGTTAGGGCATGGTCTTCAGGAGACAGAAAAGTCTCTGGCAGATCTGAATGGTTTTACTAGCATGTAAATTGTGCTCATACAATGCTTAAGCAATTAAGAGGAGTGTGAGCAGGGCAAAGCAGACACAGGATTCTGTCTGGATCATTGGGATGCAAATATGACAAGACTTGTGTTGAGGTGAAATTCCTAGGGAGAAACATAACAGAAAGCCAAATGTGCTTCTAAAAGGGTTTTTTGGTTTTTTTTTGTTGTTGTTGTTGTTTTTGGTTTTTGGTTTTTTTTTGGTGGTGGTTTGCTTTTTGTTTAATCCTGATCAAAAACACAAATGATAAAACAGTTTACATAAAAAGATTAAACTTGGTTTGGGGAAAGTGTTTGTTTGTTTCTCTGTGTAGCCTTGGATATCCTGGAACTCTCTGTAGACCAGGCTGGTATTGAATTCAGATATCCCTGGCCTTGCCTCTTGAGTATTGGGATTAAAGTTGTGCTCCACCACTGCCCAACTAAACTTGTTTTTGTGTGCAGTTGTCTTCCCCACTCCAACCCCCCAGGCAGAGTATACTTACGTATTTATCTCTTGCAAGAAAACATTTAGGGCTAGAAGCAGGGGATATAGAGCAGTTCAGTAAGATGGCTCAGCAGGTAAAAACTCTTGCTGTCAAATCTGATGACCTGAGTTTGATTCCGGGACCCACATGATGAAGGACAGAATCAACACCTGCTAGTTGTCCTCTGACCTCCACACATGTACCTCTTCATGGGCACACTCACCCACATACACAAATAAATTAACAAAAATAAAGTATGGATACTGAATAGACATTGTTCATTCTGCCCACAATCTTTTAAGCCACCAGAGAACAGTAGAAAGGCAAAGGCCATGTATAAGCCCAGAGCCCATTGGAACAACTGCCTGTATCAGAAGGTGTAGCAAGCTGGAGTGTGGCCTTGCTCCTCCATAGTGCCTAAATAGGGCAGTGCAGCACAAGCTGACCTTGTGGAGGCCCAGATGGAGACTATCAGGAATGGCGATGTGTATGACTGTGCTGTGGAGGCAAAAACACCCCACAATGATTGTACATTATGGAGGATTAGATGGGCCAATGTTTTCTATACAAATTATTTCCCCTTTGAAGAGACAACTGATACAAAGGGTTGGATCTTTTCATTGTATTGAACCTTGCTGCTGGTGCTTCTTTTTTGGTATCCCCTTAGCTCAGGACCAACTAGCACCAATTTGACATCATTGATCATAGGTCAATGTTGTTCTATGGCATAGGGCTGAGGATATAGCTCAGCTGGTAGGATGCTTGCTTGGCACATGGGAAAACCTGAGTTCAATCCCCAGCACTATATAAATTGGCCATGGTGCCACTGTAATTTCAGCGTTCAGTGGGTGTGGTGGTTTGATTAAGACTGGCCCCATAGGTTCATATATTTGAATTCTTAGTCACCAGGGA